TTTCTTCTTCTTCTTCTTCTTCTTCTTCTTCTTCTTCTTCTTCTTTTTTAACAATTATTTCAAGCCCAGGTTGTTGTAGAGTTGGGATACTAGACAGATGACATTCACCCACAGCAATCGGCCAGTTGGTTGACTCTGAAGACCCCACACACCCTTCCTCTCATCTTTTGCCCTGGCGCACCCCTCCCCCACCCCCAACCCCCACCCAGGACCATCACCCATCACCGTCTTGGCAGGGTGACCTGACCAGACAGCGATTGCAGGCACCCAGGCTAAGCAGAGACCCCTACACCCTGCTTGACCCCGGTTGAAGCAGATGCCGTGCAATGATTGCACGGGGACTTCGAGAGCTAGGTATGAACATGCTGCTACAGGTCTTCATGAGCGTGCACAGTGACTCCCATCTAGATCGTAGTTGATAGCCTAGTAGATAGCCTAATTGATAGGCTAGTCGATAGGGGGATGGGTACCCCTAATTGATAGCCTAGTCGATAGGCGGATGGGTACCCCTAGTTGATAGGTAAGTTGATGTCTGAGTTGATAGGTGAGTTGATATCCCAAGTGATAGCCTAGTTACTAGGCAAGTTGTAGTGTGACACACAGAGCTGGAGATCCTCCGTTCCCTTATAGAATCTTAGCCAGTACTAGCATGACTGCTACGCCAGCCACACTACGTTGGACCAATGGACCAGTACCTGGAGCCCGTTCCGGTACCTCGATAAGTCTGTACTAAGGTGACAGCTATGCCAGCCACACTACTACACCCCCCTCACCAGTACCTGCTCCGGTACCCCGATGAGGTCTGCACTAAGGTAACTGCTTTATCAACCACGACTGGACCCCCCAAATCCAGCACCTAAAGCCCATTCCAGTACCCCAACAAGTCTGTACCAAGTACCCCAACAAGTCTGTACCAAGGTAACTGCTATGCCAGCCTCAACTGACTCCAGAGCTAATACCTGGAGCCTGTTCCAGCACCCCGACAAGCTCGTATAGAGGTAACTGCGATGCCAGCCACAATTGAACATGTGACGCGCAACCTCACGCCCTGTGCTGTCTGTCGTTCGGAGTGCTAGATGTGCGGAAAGAGGCCCAGAAAAACAGCAAGATGGGGTGTGCCAGGGAGTTTTTGGAAATTGATTGTGGGGACTCAGACGGAACTGAAATCCCCCGTGTTGGTCCGATGAAGTAAGTCGGTTGCTTTCGCACGTCACGGAATGCGCGCGCGGGCACGGCGCGAAAAGAGAAAAATCCAAATTCAATCCAAAAAGTATTGTCGAGCTTCCCACCACGCTACGGCCCGCCGTTTAGAGTGAAAGGGCTTGGGCACGCTTCGCGTATCCCGTTCTCGTATCAAGTCCCGTCGTCGTTCGCTGGTCAGTTCTGAGTCTGACGTGGATGGTTTCAGCCGCGTGGCTCTTTCTTTATGCTCGTCTTCACTCCGCACACGATAGTGGAAACCCCTGGATTCGTAGCGCTCAAAACGCTGACATTCGGTGCATAGAGTGCGCGGCCAGTGGGGTTCTACTGTCGTCCACGGGATGACAATCAACTCGTTGAATGGCAACAATATCGAGTAAGGTGGGAAGTGCGTATCGGTAATGACAAACCCATCCTCTACGAACCCTGAACAACGATTTGCCGGAGGGAAGTAGTATCGCCCGCCGATCTGTGCGACAACTTCTCGTAAGTCCCACTCGCATACATGTGTCCTCTCCTCGCTGTAGGGAAAAGGCCGTGTTGATACGGGAGGTACGGGAGGCTGACGCCCGATCGGAGGGTGCTTGTCAGTCCACATATCAATCAATTGCAAAAACCTCGAGACGTCATTAAGAAAAGAAAATACTCGCGCAACTCCCAATCAATCCTTTTTTACACGAGAGAGAGAGAGAGAGAGAGAGAGAGAGAGAGAGAGAGAGAGAGAGAGAGAGAGAGAGAGAGAGAGAGAGAGAGAGAGAGAGAGAG